AAATGAAAAATCCTAGAAGGTCGCCGACGGTGCCATCGAGGTCGCCGACGGCGAGAACGACGGTTCTCTCAATAGATGCATTGAATACGGACGATTTTTTAAGGGACACTTAGACAACTTTTGAAAACTTTTCTACAACTTTAAGAGAAACATTTCAAAGGCCGAAAAAAGGGAGTCCATAGTGTCCAAAGAGTGTCGAGAGGTCTACGAATGTCCAGGGAAGTGTAATTTAGGGTTAGGTATTATGAGAAATTCTTCGAGAGATTGTAAGAGTTGAAGGAAAGTGAGAAATTTCTTCCTTCTTGCCGCTTTGAAGGAGAATTCTGTGTGCTGTAAAGAAAGGAATAGATTCAGAGGAACTTCGAGGAGTTACCTGGGGAGGAATTCTATCTTTGTTTTAAACTGCTTTTAGTTTTAATTGAGACTTCTTGTTGGTTTGAAAATTATTTCTAATTTTAAATTAAAAGTTTTGTCGTATCTTCTCCATGAATTCTGAGTAATTTTATCTATCTTACTCCTTGTCTTGAGATTTTGAAAAATGGTGATTTGAATTGGTTGTGCCATGAGAATGTTAAAGAACGAAGTTGTGATGATCTTTTCACTTTAATCTTAATTTACTTTCAATCTGGTCAATTGATTTGTTAAAATATGTTGAGTTTTATAACTAAAGTTAGGATTACATCCAAGATTTAGGGAGGTCAAAGTTCTTAAAAGTTGGGTGCAAATAAATAGGAAAATAAAAATTATAAAGCGTAGAATTGAAGATTTTAGAGAGAATTGGAGATTTTAGAGTGACAGACTAAAATCATCAATTCGGTCTATCCGGTCTTAACGTTTGGATGTTGCAGTGTAGATGTTAGCCCTCAGGCGAGGGGAACTTGAGAGCTCCAAAGTGAGGGTCGGTATCCTCCCAGCCTAGCCGCAGATTCAGTAACCAAACATACGATTAGTTAATATTCTTTATGTCTGGTCCAAAGAGTAAAGATTAGGTATGCTCCTATTTAGCACAATACAATTTGAACCGATTCAATTTATTCATTCACTTAAATTTCTTGACAAGAAGAAGAATGTTTTCTTATATATTGAACTTCACATTAGAAACTTTATTAGTAGAATTAGTTGATTGAGAGTTCATTAAAATTATATTTTTATTTTAATTGTCTATTAATGATAAATATGCAATTTGAACTATGTTGTTGTGATTAAGTATTGATTTTTTAAATCTTAAGTTCGTAGCCTCTAATATTACTCCCTATGGGATCGATATCCAGGTCTCCATTAGAGTCCTGTATTACTTGAGCGATACGTATATTTGCTTTGATAAGTGTTACTTTGCAATTATTAAATATTTTATACACATCTTTATTAAATCTGTAACTGTTGTCAAGTTTTTGACGCCATTGCCGGGGATTTAAATCTTCTAGCAGCAGTATCAAATTATTGTATTTTTGAGCATATATAAAGTCGCTGTCACTATTCGAACACAAGTAACAACGCTTGCATACATATCTTTGATGACTTGAATACAAGTCATATCAGCACTTTTTTTCTCAAGAACTCTGCAAAGGATCTCTTGGAACCTTATCGTAAGCTTTTTCTAAATTAATAAAAAATATATATAGATCCTCCTTATTATCTCTCACCTTCTCCATCAAACCTCTCAATAAATGTTTAACTTCCATCGTGGACCTGCCAGGCATAAATCCAAATTGATTATGAGAAATCTTTGTAATACATCTTAACCTATGTTCAATTACCCTCTTCCATAATTTTAAAGTATGACACATGAACTTAGTTCCTCAATAACAATAGCATAATGTAGAATTACAAATTGCAAATTGCAGAGAAAAAATTTAACTTCTAACCGAGAGATAAACCCAATATAATTAAGCATCTAAATTAATTGCACAATTTTAAGTAATTCACATATTTTTACATTTTGTGGCCAACACAGATCATCAAAGGTAATGCTTTAGATTTTGTTGCCAACACAAAAAGCCAAAGGTAAGAGCTTGCCAATAATCAACCATAGCTAATGGTATAGTAGGCCAAAGAATAACAAATGATGCGCTATATTTCTAATCAACCACGGTATCATAAACCTTTGTAGCAATAATACCTATTCAAAAGAAAGTCGAAACAACAATTGGATATAAGTGTTAAGAGTAACTGGTGAAATCACAGAACCTTATCAAGAAAACTAGAATGCCTACGACAAAAGGAAGAGAAGGTAATGACTACGACATGTAAGGCTAAAACTACTTTTTCTTGGGTTATGTATAGCATTGGAAAAAACAAAGGTAAGAGAAATTTGGTGATGCAAGCACCTTCTATGTACAAAAACGAAGTATTCATGAAGAAATTAGATTTAGTACAACAAGTCCATTACCAAAATCTTAAAAAATAAAGGACATTTGTTTTCTACCTCTAAAACTATGGACAACACCATGCGCATCAACGATTCTTACTTTAGAATCTGCAGAAGTGATCATCACTTTTTTTGGATCTTCAGGAGAGAACTGAAATGATAACAAAGTAATGTTATTAGGGGTCCACGGATATGATGAATGATAAAACACAGAGAGATCTAACCTGTAATGCAGTAATTCGCTTTCCAGCAGATTTCCTTCTGCCCTCAATGCAGAATTGTGTATCCAACCTGATGCTATTACCTTTATATACCCAAACATCAAAATAACTGGGTGAGTTAAACAACAAAGACAATATTAACACATAAACATGATTTAACAAAACAAAAAAAAAACAGCAACTCTTGGCATACACTGGGCCACACCAAAGAAGGAAGGCAATTAAAATAGAAAGGCCAAATGTAAAATGTAAAATACCATAGTCATAAAAGCGGCAATTTCCATTAATGGAGCCAACAACAAATCCCTGTACCAATAAAAAGAAAATGTGCAAGCATTAATAGATCATAAAGACATAATAGTACTAATAAACAATTGCATTACAAATTGTTGCAGATAATTTCTATAGAGGAACACTTGTTAGAAAGCAACCTTCCCATCTGGTCGACAACACAACGAAGTAACAATATCACGTATGTCAACCCAATCAACCACCTGATTTTCAGAGACACCCCAAATGCGAACCTTTCCATCAATAGAGCCACTTACGAAGTATCTCTCGTCAACAGGATTAAACTGAATGCAAGTCACTGGTTTACAATAAAAAAATCAAGAACAACTTGAGAGATTGCATTGGTTATGTAATAGTGTCATTGGCAAAAAATTAGAAAAAGGTTTCTTATCAAACAATAATACAAGAATAAAACCAATAGTACCGAGAGGATATCTTGCACGAAAGCCTAAAAAATCTGACTTACATACAAATGACCAAACCCAAAAGTAAAATTTGGGAAGGCAGCATATATAATTATAAAGCTTCAGTCATTCTAAGTATGTATATAAGAAATTTCTTAAAAGGTGTGGAGAACATGATGTTGGATTGGCAAAAGTACGATATTTAATGACAACACTCGAAATGAGATAAATTCAAGTTCGCGTGCATTTAAAAATATAATTCCACATGTAAAATAGTATATGACATGTTCAAAGCTTACAAATTACCATAATCAGTGTGTTGAAATACTTTAAGGCATTCGCAAAAACCAACTTTCCACATTCGCACTGTTTTGTCCATAGAAGATGTAATAAGACACTGCAAGAAAGAAAAATAAGGGAAATTATGATATATATTGTCCAACCAGATATTGCAATCTGAACCATAAAAATAATAGATGCGAGATTTCAGCTCAAATAGACTCAAAAAAAGAACCTTAAGAAATACAATGAAAAAGGACCAAACTCTGCCAATCAAGAAGAAAATATTACGAAATGTGACAGCATTTAAGACGACTCATAGAAGCATCCTGAACATTACAAAAATGATTAAAAAAAAAAAAGATGCTTACATCAGAATTAGACCAAGAAAGGTCCAGTATGTCTCCAGTATGTCCACGAAATTCCTGAAATGGAGTTTCCACGATCCTAAAACCCTTCTTGGGAATAACAATTGGTGCAGAGTCAGCACCCTTCCTTCCACTCAAGGATTTGCTACTATCAACTTTACCAAAAAAATTAGGAGAGCCATCTGCTTTGGAGCATTTGCAAAATGCTTGCAATTCTCTGATCTGCCAGATCCGAACAACACAATCTTCGCCACCACTAGCGATGTAGCATCCCGAAGGACTAAATTTCATCGTTCTAATTAAGCCCTTGTGAGCTTTAATATCTTGCCCCATAAACAAAGCCGTGAGCTCTCTACAACTTTTCCGATGTTGAAGAACCTTAGTTGTCATAGTTCGAGGAACTTGGGAATTTTTAATGGAAACGTCATTCCTACACAATCCTGCAGTAGGTCTCCGTGAGATAAACCTTCTCCACCAGTTGCTCAGCTGCTTCTTACTTTCTGGGAAGCCTTGACCATATTTATATCCAAAAGCTTGCTCTCTCTGCATCAGCTTAAGAACATGACAGGATAATCCAAGTAACTTTTCAAAGTCCTTCAAAGTTAAAAATTTTCCTGACCCCGCTTCTCTGATGAAAGCAGACAGACCATTTTCACCAGTATCGTGAACAGTATACTTCTGCCCACTATCCAGATCTCTTATGCAACAAAGAGAATCTCTTATTCCTCCATCATTTGTTGTTGAGAGAGAATTCAAAGCGGCACCGCTACTTTCTGAAAGCCTCTCATGCTCAACTTGCTCCATGGAGATATCACTCAAAGATTCTGGTGAGTCAAGAGAGCATTCTTCGTGAGAAGAAACAAACTCATCAAAACCCATCAAGCGCACGAAACTCGTTCGCCTTTCACTAACAGACATCATGCCCGTAGTCCAGAATTGAGGATCTAAAATTCTGAGGTTAGTTTCAAATTCTTCATCGACTGAGAAAAAGGATGATATAGAGTCAACAGAATTCCTAATGCTGTCCAGTGAGTCAAGGAAGACTTCTCCGTCCACATTGGACTTCGGCATATTTACTAGGAAATGCTCCCAAGCTTCCAGTAAATCACCATTGAGTAACCCAACCCGATGTACGTATCCAATAATATGAATCTAACGAGAAACCGTGAATTTGCATGCCAGAGAAGCCTCTTATGCCACTTTTTTTACAAGCCACAAAAGTTTAACTGGAAATAAGAGAAAGGCCGTAAATGTGAATTTCAATAGATGACATCAAAACAGTGACTATCAAAAAAAAAACTACAAACACTAAGATACAAGAATAGAGCGGCTTGAAGCAGACAAGGAGGAAGAAAAAAAAAAAAAAGAAACAGAGACCAAAACCTGTACCGAGGACCCCCCATATGGCAAAACTAGTTATATAATCTATTATAAATTCCCCAAAAACTAAAAAAATAAATAAATATATATATATAAAGATGCGGAAGAAGAACAAAAATAAGATCAAACTCGGCAAAGAAGAAGAAGATCGGAAAACTTAAGAATTAAACTCAACAAATGAAACCGCACATAAAAGCTAAATTAACATCTGACATGGAAAAAGCGATGCCCAATTGCCCATAATCGAAGGTACGACTTTTCATATAATTCGATAAATACTTTTAAAAAAGATTTCTTGCCCTCCCCAAAAATCTTATATTAAAAATGAGGCATGCATAACATAACCAGGGATAAAAAAATGGCAGAAATAAAACTCAATGATAAGAAAACTATTTTTTTTTTGATGAGATTTGAAGCTATTCAGAAAACTCTTGGCAGCAAATGGCAAATAAAAAATAAATCACATTATTCGATTCCTGGCACCATAATGCACAAGGAAAAAATGCACAAAAAAAAAAAGAAAAGAAAACGAAATCGCTAGTTTCAACAGAGAACAGAGCACACCAGCGGCCATTTCTGGAGCCCCTGCCTCGAATTATATGGCAGTCCAGCCAGACATCGCGAGTTGGAGTTAGCCAGCTAAATTCCATGCTAACTATCTACTCTAACTCACAGCATCAGAATGGGAGAAACAACAGGAGCAATGTAAACCGGCGCGCAGAGTAATCGGAGAATTTAAAAAGCAAAAAATTATAAAGCACGCCCAGATATAGACACGAGCGGGAGGCACGGCGTTCTAGGTTACCAAATTCCTTCCCTTCTGAAAAAAAGCTTAAAGTGAACCGAACCAATCCCATCGAATCAAACAAAACCCTAGCCATGGATAACGGCATCGCACCTATTTCTCAGCGACCGTTAGGAAGGAATACAGAGAAAGAAGGCTCTTCTTCGCTGTCAACTCCACCCGCCTCAGCTCGAAAGCATTAATGGTGCCCCTTAAAACGAAGTCCTACGCGATCAGTCGCTTTGGAATGGTTGGATGACCAGTTCCAATCGATCAAAAGAATCAAACCATCGGAATGATCGGACGGTCAGCAGCGAATTGATTAAAAATAGCTCACATAAAAGCGTAGTTTAAAATATCAATCAGCAAGGAAAGAATCTCATGAAAGCAGAAAGAAATGGCGTCGAAGACCGGCGGAAGTTCTGATACCTCGTCTAATCCGCCGCAGCTGGAGAACCAAGTCCAAATTGTGGTTCTTTTTTTATCTTTTCGGTTAACTTTTTTTACGTTTGGAGACCATTAGTAACGCAACGGACGCAGTACATGCTCTGCTGTGTCCAGTTTTGGGAGACAAATCTAACGGTGGGTGGTCGTGATAAATGAACCTGCTTCATTTCGGCCCCACTTGAAAATATCCCCCTATGGTTTGGCCCCCACAATAAAATAAGTTTATCAAATTCTCTTAAGAATTCAAATTAATTTGAAATATAATAAATTTTGTTAAGGTTTAGAGGCAATTACATGTAGACCATCCTGAACATGCTATTTATAAATCAACCTCCGTTGTTCATCCATTTTTGAAATTTGTACAGTCAAATATTAAAATTGAAGGTAAAAACCCCACCCTTACTTTTCTTTCTTATTAAATTCTCAATTATTTGGTTGAAAATATATTGGCTCGGTAGTTTAAAAAAATCACCTGGAGATCAATGTTTCGTTGGCATGTTTGTAATTATCCCTAAGATTTAAAACAAAGCGGCATTAATTCTTAATAGGTCATGTATAGAAGTTTGCAGATCATTCATCTCCATTGCTACTCCATTTTTAAGATGAAAGATTTATGAACTTGGATGAATGATTATTTGATAAGAAAATTTTATTTCTATGCAACGAAAAAAAATTATTCAAGTAGAAAGATTAACTTTCAAGGATGCAGATTTAAAAATGAAGTTTTTGATGTGCAAATTTGCTCGGCGGGTCACATACATAAATATTATCAATTTCTGCTTCTCTAATGAAATTGTTTATTAAATTTGACTTTGATAATTGTTGAACTAGGAGTACATTAGGCTATAATAGGTGAATTTATCAGCTCGATGTCAAATGAAGCCTTGTACATACGAGTCTAAACAATACGAATTTTGTTCAAGTCATGCCTATCGTGAGCTTTGCATGCCAATTAAAATACATACTCAAGCTCAAGTAATCTAACAACTCAGAAGCTAACTTACATGCTAAAAGAAGAGGATATTGCCTCGGACATGAGAATGTTTCATAAAGCACGGGTCGTGTGGTAGTTGACATAGAAGGCGGTGTCAAATGGGAGTACGCCGTGTGTGCTTTCTGAGCCGCTGAGGATGAGTCGGATGCCGCCTGGATAAGAAGCACGGGTCGTGTGGTAGTTGACATAGAAGGCGGCGTCAAATGGGAGTACGCCGTGTGTGCTTTCGGAGTCACTGAGGATGAGTCGGATGCCGCCTGGATAAGTAAAAAAAATGGTGTTTTTTGATTTTTTTAAATTCAAAAAATTTTAAAATCCATAACTTGGTGTAGAAAAATTAAGAAAATAAAATAAAAAAACATGTTGCTCAGTGAATAAAGGAAAAAATTATGAACAAAAAATAAAAATTATTTGCCATATATTTTGCTTTTAATTAATTAACTACTCAAGAGAGAAATTTAATTATATTTAATTAGATATTAATCACCTTGGCTTGAAATTTGGACAGCTTGTTTTGCATATGGTTAGAGATGTTCTTTGATTTTTTCAAAGTCAGAGAACACCTCTAACTAGGGGTGTAAACGAGCCGAACACGAGCGAGTCAAGCTCAGCTAGATCG